TCCATCACTTTTGCCTTTTTTTCAGCACCTTTGAGGGGAATCACTTATCACAACATCCCCCATCCACTCAAATGTCTACCTCCAACATTCCCCTCAAACACTCTCACATCGTCACATTCTCTGGTGTCCTTGAAACTGGTTCTCTGGGGAGCACTTCTTCGTCACTTCCACGCAACCTATTACTAACTTCTTTCTACAGCTCCCCCCATCTGATGGTCGTAACTACTGTTACCGTCCATGTACCATCGCTATTACTACAAAAGGTTGGAACGGAGACAACAACAAAGAATACGATGGGAAATGGACGGCGTACTGTTCGCCGCTTGATTTTTTCAACGAAGGTGAATGTTTCGTTACAAAGGGACGAGGGGGCCCAGTCAAGGACACCCCCGACTTCAATATGTACTATGAGGCAGAGCACAAGGTCTTCGTTGGCACCAGCGAAACTTTCACTGGTGTGCTCCATAACAACACTGCCCTTTCAGGTCTTGGTATCGTCTCTAGCCGCCATACCATGCCAGACGACGACGCTACAAAATCTGTTCTCTGCTTCATTATGAAACATATCGATTACCAGCCTCAAGTGAGTTTACAATCTGCCTTTCTCAACTCTTTCGTCCCGCCCAAAACTCACCCTTAATGTACCTTCTTCACAGGGTCGAAAAAACCAATACTTTGAGATTGAGTAAAGGATTCTCCCAACTCGCAACATGGAGCAGAGTCAGAAGCTTGTGCAATGTAGGACGCGAGACCCTCATTTCCGGCTTTATTGTGGACTTTGACCCCAACGCCAACAGATTCATCGTAGAAGTGAGGCCTTATCGCTACGACCTATCTCTATACGTGCTCATTTCATTGCTTCCACACAGGTCACTTCTGTCAGTCCCTGCACAGGCAACGAAGGCAGTGGCGCTGGAAAAGTTGATCCATCCGGTCATGTGACACCCGCGGGGCGCGTTAGACCTGCAAAGTGAGCTACTTCTCACTCGGACTTCATTAGCAACTGCTGACCAACTTTCCACAGGCACGTTGCGACACCAGCCACCCCAACCAACGCTATGGCTGGTCCTTCCTCGGTCTCATCATCGGTCTCAGCATCTAAGCGCAAAGCAGCAGTCGTCGAGGAGCCACTCCTATTGCCGATTGCTGCAGTCCGTCGAACTCGCCCTGTGAAGTACGTTCCTGATCTCCTCGCCAGATACACTGAGACTGACTCTTTTTCCAGACACGTAGCTAAGCCGACCGTGGCACCCCCTAAGAAACCGCGCGCCCAAGCAAAGGGCAAAGGCAAGGAATCTACTGCTCTTGAAGTTGCTACCGATTCCCCGCCCCTCGACGACGACTTATCAGAAGCAGAAGCAAGCGCCCTTACGATGGCACCAGGCCCCAAGAAATCGCCACTTAACACTGCAAATATAATGTGTTTCTCCGCGGTGAAAAATGATTACATTTAATTCAAAAAATGATTAAAAGTGCATTAAATCTACATTAAATCTGCATTTTTCTGCATTAAATCTGCATTATTAATCATTTTGTGCATTAAGTGCAATCATTTTTCACTTCGGAGAAACACATTATATTTGCAGTGTAAGAAGGCAGTACCGGTTAAAAATAAGAAGGCGAAGGTAGTTGAAAAAGTAACTCCTGCTATTGAGGATCCGGCGGAGGAGGAGGAAGAAGTCGTTGAAGAAGATACCGACTTTGAGATGGAGGATTGAACGCTTCGCTTCTCGCATTCGCTATCAAAGCCACCGTTCATCTCTACTTTTTGTGTCCGTTGTTCCTAGAGTTTATAGTGTATTCAGCCATTTGTGTTTATAATGTAATCTAAAACCGTTCACTTGCCATTTCGCGACAGTGCCACTTCCAACTCACAAAGATACCCATGCCGTATTCGAAAACCAACTGACTTATGCTCAGCCCCGTTTTGCCTCTTTGCTCACTCCCAGTATTGCACTCCAGGCTGAGATCAACGATTCATCTCCTGTCGATCCCCTTATATAAGGCCTACCACCATGCCCGTTTTGACTTGGCTCGTCGACGAGCACGCTCGGTGATCTTCTTAATGACACTCACAAGTCTTTCCAAATACCTTAAAATTTGTATGCCTTTGTAGTAGAAAATCCTCGGTGGTGACCACTGAGGATTTACCAGCACGTGCTGATTTGTTTACTTTATTTGGATCACACAGACTGAACTTCCAACGTACCGGCACAATGGGCATGTGACAAGGGGTCTGACATGCCAAGTGGAAGATGGTAGTTCTTGTATTCCAAAATACCGTGTCTTGTTTTTTCATCTCAAAGTCCTTTGTGCTCGATTTTGGACCAACTGGCTACCACGATCTCTTTCTCAGTTTCTTTCCAATTTCTCTGCTTCAATTTCAATTTCTCTGCTTCAATTCCAATCTTTCTGATTTTTATGATATACAGTGTATCCGTTCTTGGAAACAATCATACATATCCACAATTTCTGGTTCTCTGTGTATTGCTTTAATTTCTACCTCTTCAAAAGATACTCTCAGATATACTTTTTGATTTGATAAAGTTATCCTAATCCGTATCCTTCTCCTCATTTTTTAAAGGTAAGCTTGATAATCCCAACTTCATAGAAATCAAGAGACTGATGGTGATCATGTTTTTGTTGGTATACCAAAGATCAGCTTGATAATCATGAGTGCTGCACCAGTCACCACACAGGGCAGCAGTTCGACCGCACAAGGACCCGGTGCCGAATCATCCAACAAAAGGCCACGTCGAAATGATGATGAAGGTTTGTTTTGTCTTGTCTTCCAATCTGTATGCCAATATATTGATC